ATCATCACAATACCACTGAAATCCAGATGATAATCAGAAACTATTTTGAAAATTTATACTCCAATACCAATAAGCTACAAAATCTTGAAGACACTAACAAATTCCTAGAGACATATGCCCTACCAAAATTGAACCATGAGGATATAGAAGAATTACACTGATCAATATCAAGTAATGAAATTGAAGTAGCTATCAAAAGATGAACAACAAGGAAAAACCCAGGACCAGAGGAATTCTCAGCTGAGTTCTACCAAACCTTTAAAGAAGAACTAATATAATGCTCCTCAAATTTTTCCATGAAATAGAAAAGGAGGGAACACTGTCAAACTCATTCTACAAAGCCAGTATCACTCTGATATCAAACCCAGACAAACACATATCAAGGAATGAAAACTTTAGACCAATATCCTTTTGCAACTGAAGTATTACTCAGGCATAAAGAAGAATGAAATTACAGCATTTGCCAGAAAATGGATGAAGTTGATAGTCTCTACTATTAATGCTAAGTGAAATAAGTCAATTCCCCAAAGTCAAAGGTTGAATGTTTTTTCTGATATGCAGGGGCTAATCCAAAGTAAGGGGATGGGGGAGAAAGAAAAAATAAAAAAAGAAAAAATGGGAGGGAGTGAGGGAGAGAGGGACAGGCGGAGAAAGGAAAAAAACTATTAAAAGATCAGTAGAAGAGATGAAGGGGACTGAGCAGAATGAAGGAGAAATAGGAAAAGGGAAGAACATTGGAATGAATCTGACTGAGCTTTCCTATGTACATACATAAATATAGCACAGGGTATATCAAGTATATCCACAAGACACTAATTTTTAAAACACTATAAATAAATTACAGAAAGATCAGTAGAGGGAAAAGAATATGGGAATGGAAAAAGTGCTACTGATGGAATTAGAGGCAAATCATTCCATGCTTTTGTGAGTGTGTCAAAATGTTTCCTAAGGTTATATATAACTAAAAAAAATTAATTTAAAATGATCAAATTGTAGTAAAGTTGATATATTGTGGAAAATGATAATGATTGTCAATACAGTTCTGGTAAAGATGAGTTAGGAGTTCGAGCAAATGTTTCCATACATATGAAAGGGAAAAATATGCAATTTCCTAATTATTTTATTGTTTGAAGAAATATGTGATTTAAGTATATATTAATGCTGCTATCAGTATTCTTATAAAAAATAAAAACATGTAAATAATAGAATGTATTTTATAAGACAGTTTTTGTTTCCTTGACTAAAAAGGGAAAGTGTAATAATTTCAAGAAAATTCAGAAAACCATAAAAATGAATAGTTTACCCATAAGCATATCACGCAAATCAATCCCTGTGACATATGGGACTCAGCTCACCAGAATTTTCCGTACATAAAAGTATCACTTTTATTTAAAAAATAAAAATGTGCTGGGTGCAATGGCACACGCCTATTAATCCTAGCAACTTGGGAGGCTGAGGCAGTAGGTATACAAGTTCAAAGCCATCTGGGCAACTTGGTAAGACCCAGTCTCAAAATTCAAAAAATGAAAAGGGGTGGGGTTGAAACTAAGCTTTCCTCACTTCACTTAAAATCCTGGGCTTCTCTCCATGTGTCAGTAATGTAAGTTGACACTAATATTTTAATGACTACATAAAATGTCCAAAGTATGAACTTATCATCACTTAATAGATCCCTGTTACTAAACAACTTTTGCACCAGTAATCCCTTGTGTTATAACACACATTCTTTCACACATCTTTGCAACTTTATATAATTTACAGAATTTTTTCTTAGGATAAATTTAGAGGGCTGGTGTTGTGACTCAGTGATACAGTGCTTGCCTAGCATGAGTGAGGCACTGGGTTCAATTCTCAGCACCACATATAAATACACAAAATCCACTGACAACTAAAAGAATATTTTTAAAAAAGAGATAAATTTAGAAATGCTGAATTGATTTTAATAAAACTAAACCATCCTCCAGTAAAACTATACCAATCAAAATCCCATTAAAGGTACTGTTTATCACTCAGAACATTAGCAAATCACTGGAAATATATTTCTTAATGCTTGGTAACTTAATAATGGAAAAATGGCATCCTGTTACTTTAGTTTGAATTTCATTAATTATGATGAATAGTTTTTCAAAAGATCCTTTATGGACTGTGGATTCACATTTCTTGAATTTTCAATCACAATGCTCATACTACAATTATTTACTCCTTGAGCATTTTTCTCTTTATATTATACCTTTACATTCTAAAGTTATCTCAGCACTATCAAAAGTAGGTAAAAACTGGAAACAGGGGCTGGGGATGTGGCTCAAGAGGTAACGCGCTCACCTGGCCACTGGGTTCCATCCTCAGCACCACATAAAAATAAAAATAAAATAAAGATGTTGTGTCCACCAAAAACTGAAAAATAAATATTAAAAAAAAACTCTCTCTTCTCTCTCTCTTTAAAAAAAACCAAACAAACAAACAAACAAACAAAAAAAACCTGGAAACAACTTTCCAGTTGGAAGATCACTTCATATGGCTTAACAATACAAAAAGCCTTTCAATGAAGTAGTCGGTGGGATGTGGCAGAGTATTTACTGAGAACTGTTTTTACTGAGAACTGAAAATAACTGAAGGACAATCACAATTTAAAACACTCTCAAGAATAATATGTACAATCACTCTGTTGCTGTCTCTCATGTAAAAATACTCAAATATTCATAGTGTGAATGAAAATCAGTAGAATATTAACAGTAGTTGATCACGGCTGATAAAAATTACAGGTGAGTCTCCTCTTTTTGCTCTCCTTCCCTTTCTTCCTCCCTCTCTCCTTTTACAATATCATGTATAATTTATATGAATGAAATATAATAGTTTTTTTAAGTGCTTGAAAAAGTACACAATTTGATAGTGTAGATTTCTTTGCCAATCAGAATGTTCACAGCCAAATCTAAACCTCATCTATAACTACCACTCTGGTCCTTAAAACAAATGTATTTATTTTCTAGGCTTCTGCGTGAATTTTTACTTTATTATATAATTATTATTGTAGTCATTTCTTCCAAATTGTTGGTGGGATGTGGCAGAATACATGTAGTAGAAACAAAATATCCCTAAAAAAAAGAACATGAATCTTCAAAGTAAAGGGCCCAGTTAGTGCCAAGTAACAACACTAAAAAAAAATCAATTTGATGAAACCTGACAAATTTTTTAAATTCCAAAGATAAAGAAGATATCCTGTAAGACTCCAGACAGAAAACAGAAAAAGAAAAAAGTGGTAACATTACCTATATACCAACAGGAGAAATAGAATCAGACTGAGAACTTGTATTAACAACACTCAGTGACCAAAGACAGTAGACACACCTGATGGGGGGGAAAAAACCTGATGCCAGAATGCTAGCTCCAAAAGATAATTCCCAAAAAAAAAAAAAAAAAAAAAAAAAAAAAAGGAACTGATTTTTAGACATATACAAATTGCACACATGAATCTTTGAAAAAAATTTATTCATGAAAATATTCTAGTCAAACCAAAGAGAAAAAGATTCATGAATGAAAACATGAGACTGAACTGATACAGAAAGGCCATTTATTGCCAGCAAGAGAAATAAATTCTGGATAAGCTCAAGACAGCAATCCTCTGGTGCCAGAAACAAAGACAAAATTCAAAGCAGAACAGAATGTGGGAGCTTATGATGCAGCAATGCATGGAGAGTTTTAGAGACTCCGCAATATGTCCCAGGGGCCAGAATGTAGGACATATTTTGAAAATTTTCACAGAAAAAAGAATGGCATGATGAGTATTTATAAATCTCCTGCTTAAACTCCATTATTGCCACCATTTTGAGCTTCTCTCTCAACACATGCTTTCTTTTCTCATTTCTTATTGCTGCACCATGCGTAATAAGTAGCAGAGAAAAAAAATCAAAGCAAAAGCCCAAGATGAAATAATAAAAGAAAACTAAAGTAAAATAATTTAATAATCAATCCAGTAAAAGGAAGGAAAAAGATGGAAGAGAAAATAACTATAAACAGCTGGGCATGGTGGTGCACTTCTGTAATCCAGCAAATTGGGAGGCTGAGGTAGGAGGATCACGGGTTTGAGGCCAGCCTCAGCAACTAAGTGAGGCCCTAAGCAATTCAGTGAGACTCTGACTCAAAATAAAAAATAAAAAGGGCTAAGGATGTGGCTCAGTGGTAATGCACCTCTGGATTCAATCCCAGAATAATAATAATAATAACAACAACAACAACCACATTTATATACTACACATTACATTACATATTCTGCAAATTATAAGACACACTTGACAAAAGAGCTACTCATACTGGGAGAATTAATTCCTTTCTCTCTGAACCTAATATATCAAGTAATTAAAAATGTGCAAGGGGATATGCGGTTCCCAGCATTTTCCACCTGGCCTGGCACATTGAGGAGGCCCCTGCCAGTGTCTCCTACACACAGCCTCTTCACTGTGCCTGGGCAGCTGGAAAACGCCATGCCCATTTCCAAATTATCCCGTCACTCACCTAGACATGTACTTTGAGGTACTCCATTTCTCACTGCCTGGGGGTATTCTGCTTACTCTAACTGGGAGATGACTTTTGGTTTGGAAAATGTAATCCCTGTTCATTAAGAAGAAGACATGAGTGGCCATCCTGGAATAAAGTACCAGCTCTGCAGTCACTGGAGAAGAGGGACAGTGCAAGAAGGAGGTCTTGCTCAGGGAGGGGCCTTGGCTCCTAGTGGATGGTCAGGATCAAAGAAGGCAATGCACTCTTCTCAGCTGTAGCATTTTATGGGACCCAGGGGAACAGAGGGGGCAGTGTTGGGGAGAGAAGGAAATAGGAAAAGCATAGAGAAGACATAACTTAGTCAAGCTCAGACATCTCTGTATAGCCAAGAGGAATAGCAGCTATCACTCTGAGCCCATGGCGGGGGAGGAGAGGGCCTGTACCTGGCCAAGCCTTCAAATATCCTCCTTGAAGGGGGACTCTGCATCCCATGGACAACTCCTTACCCAGTGAGACCAGGTTGCTGTAGTTCTCCAGCATCACTTCCCGATACAAGGTTCTCTGGGCAGAGTCCAGGTGCAACCACTCATCCTGGCTGAAGAGCACGGCCACATCCCTGAATGTCACAGACTCCTGGAACAGCAAACCCATTTCTACTCACTCATGATCACCCCTGGATGGAATAACTGAGAAACAACCCTATCACAACTCAGGATTCTAAGGATTTCAAATAAAGCAAGTATTTCTGGATAATTTGGCTTTGTTACTGAGCACTTATTTATCATGTGCTTGCTTACTGTAAGTGACATATTGCACCCTCGGAAAGCTTAATCACAGCAGCCAAACAGAAGCATGCTTGAAATCATGAAACAAAATCAAAATAACAGACACAGAATTTTACGCTTGGAAATGTATAATTACCTAGGCCAAACTCTCACCTTACAGGTGACACACAAGAAGATTTTAGAAGGAGGTTCTAGTACTCTCACTTGGGGAGGACTAGGTAGGAGACCTCTGGGCTTGCCTTAGAACACAGTTCGGTTGGTCCCAGTGATGGATTCTATCATCACCATGGCCCACCTCTGTGTCCTGTGGGAGAGGACATTAACATTCACAGTGGGAGAGGCTCTGAGAATGCCCTGGGCAAGGCTTTACCAGGAGAGTGCCAAGGGTGGTAGTCTGCATAACCTTCAACAAAAAGCCAGGGAAGAGGGCTGTGATTAGGATTTCCCATCCACACCTCAGAAGCCTTTACTCCTCTACCCCTCTGCCACCTACCAGGCAAGTCAACACTCTGAACTAGTGGCCCTTTCTTTTCTTTTTCAGAATTTTTTTATAGATCTATTTTTAATAATACATATTAATTGTACATGTTAATGGGATTCACTGTGATATTTCCATACATGCATATAGAAAAGGAGAAAAGATCAATAAGCAAGAAAACATGGAGTGTTAATCTCATTTTCTGCCACCAGAAAAAGTTTAACTTTTTGCTCTATGTCCTTTCAGACTTTTTACATTCAAACAAAAATCCAAATCACATTATGAGAAACAGCATTCTAGTCAATGTTCTTACTTGCTGTCTAATATTTCACTACATGGATAAACTAGTTTGTTTAATCTTGAGGTGGATGTTTAGGTTGTTTCCACTTTTGTAATACTCTACAAATGATAGGTTGACCCTCCGTGTACATCATCAGAAATGTGTACAAAGCATTTCCTTAGCGTATATTTCTACAGCATAAGTGTTAGGTCACAATTCATTTTCTTCTCACCATCCCCAAGGTGAACCCAAGCAGATCACAAGGTCAGACACCTTCCCTGACCCAGAAAGGCAAAAGAAAATTAAAAAGAAGTGACTTGTTTCTCCCCATTGGAAACAAGGGAATATACATTTACTCCCATTCCTTTTTTTTCAGAATTTATCTTTTTTCAAACATGTAAACTTTTTAGTGGTCAACTAAGTCACTTGCCAGTCTCACAACTGAGGAAACTTCCCTCAAGGAACTAACAGCTCTTTGAGTATAATCATCAAGACATATGCTAAAATAATGTAATGGAAGGTCATTAGGCTGAGAGGGCTCCAACACCATGGGTTCCTAATGAAAGGAAACTTAAGCTCAGCCAATCAGAAGCACCACCTGAATATTAATTACATCATCAGGAACTCTGCATGGAGACAGTCCAACTTTCACCAAATAATTTCTTTGCTCTACTTCTGCAGTGACCCTATAAAAGCTTTCTCCTTTGGGTGGATCACAGAACCCTTCCAGCCTGATGTTTGCTCAAATAAACTCTTTAAAACTGAAATGTGCCAACATTTATCTTTTAACAAAGATAAAGGCTAATCTCCCAGTTTCTGGGGAGGAGATGGGCCTAACTTATCATTTAAGTCTAAACTGTAGAAACTACCTATTTCATTGGGTTATATCTTCTTATTCTGTGTAAGGTGAGCTTCTTGCAACCTCTTCTTCTTAGACTACATATGATGTGCATAACAATTTGGTTTCTGATTATAAAAATAATTACCTTTTTTCTCTTCTACTTTTTTTTTTTTTTCAGTTTTCTGTGTTGGGAGAATTTTTTTAAAAAATATATATCTCCCCAATCCATTAATAATACAGAGTAAGTGCTTCTCAAAGTGCAGAGAAAGAAAGAAATTCCTACAAAGGATACTTTCCACCTCAAGGGAATGTAATCCCAAACCAATGCCCAAGCTTTGATTTCTTCTGGATGCCTTCCATTCACCAACTATACAAGCCTGGTCTTGCCCAATGCTAGGAAGTTGCCCTGGCTACACCTGCTGACAAGGAGGTTTCTTTCTTCAATCTTTCTAGGAGTCACCTGGACTCTTACTACGTACAGTAGTTTCTTGGTATCCAAGACTCCTGCAGATACCAATATCTGAGGACACTTAGGCTCTTTATATAAAGTGGCCCTTATGTAAAATGGTATAGTATATAACCTATAAACATCCTCCAATATACTTTAAATCATATCTCAATTACTTATAATGCCTAATACAATGAAAATGTGATGTAAATCGTTATTATAATGTATTGTTTACGGAATGACAAGAATAAAGTCTGGCCAAGTTCACTACAAGCACACTTTTTTTTTTCCCCCAAATATTTTTTATCTATTGTTGGTTGAGTCCCTATATGTAAAACCCACAGATATGGAGGGTCCACTGTACTCTCATACGTTGGTTGTCTTAGGTTCCTTAAGGGCAAAGACCATGACTCTCCTCTTTGAATCCTTAGTAAGGAATTATTTGACACAGCAATGTGTTTATGCTCCATCATACCTGGATCCCTCACAAAGTTCTGGCTGTGGCAATGGCATGGGATGGACTCCCATTCAATTTCTAGTCAATAAGTACTTAGCTGTTAACTGGAGACTGCACCATCAGACTGGCCTAAAACAAAGAAAACACCTTTCTTTCTAGCACCTAACCTACCATGCCCTCTGGTCCCTCCAGGGGCTCTACTGTCTAGAGAAATTCAACAATGAATGAAACAAATTGGCTATCTATAAATCCTTAAGGCAGTTCAAGAAAGAAGCCTCCTTCACTCACCTGAATCTGTGCTGGCAGCAAACTCCTGGCCATTTCTCCCTCCCTGCTGGGGAAGGCAGCTGAAACAGAGAAAGAAGCTGTGAGGACTATTCACCCTGCCTGCACTCTGCCCTCATTAAGACAGACCAGATTAGAAACCTCCACCAGACCAGAACTTCCAGCCTTAATGGCTTAATGGTATCTGCAGATCCAAGCCAAAAGGGCCCTGAGCATGGCCACCAAAGCCAAAAGTGGGCAAAAAGCATACTCCCAGTTACTAGGCCTTTCAGCCAGTCATTGTGAATAAAGATGAAACAAGCTAAGGAATTAAAACCATATGATATTCAATAACAAAGTAAAGGGCACAGTAACACATGGCTCACAGGTGTTAAAGTGAAAAGACATTAACATTTCACACATTGGCATTTGGATATTACTTGAGGTGAAAAATAGCATCGGAAGAATGAATGCCGTTTTCAGAAACAATCAACTAAAAACTAGTCCTCTCTTATTTTCCTTTTAGAAATTCTACTTCTTTTATCAAAAAGAGTTACCAAGTTGCCTAAATGCAAAAGACATTAGAACTGACTTTTTATGATGGATACATTCTAAGAATTAAAAGCATGCTATTTTATAATAGTGCAATAACTACTACATCAATAGAGTTTAGAAATGATTTTCCTCTTCACTGAATTGATCCACCCATCCTCACCCCTCAATGCACACAAGGACTCAAAGGGTGCATCACCGGCTAGAAATGAATTTAAACTTTAGAGAAAAGGGGATGGGGGTATATAACTCAATGATACAGTGCATTATGTGTGAAGCCCTGGGTTCCACCCCCACAATCCCGACCCCCAAAAATCAAATTAAAAATTTAGAGGAAAAAGGAAGAACTTAGCAAATGGACAAAATTAACTTAAAAAAAAAAATAGTTAAATCACTCTAGGAGTCAGTGTAGAAAAACACTGCCAAACGAGTAAGACTGACAAAAACAAAGTTTAAACTCTGGAGGATGGGGGGGGGAGGGTGCGATGTTAAATCAACAATCGCTGACTGCTGAAAACCGCCAGGGGACTCACCAACCCTGAATACGAAGGACACAGTTCCCTAAAGTCTCTTTTCTGGGGACCACTTGTCCAGGAGAATGGCCTGAGAATGGCCCGGAGGTTAAGTGGTGTCACGCAGTCTTCCGGCCTCCCCGGGAGGACCTTCCCCGGCACCGCCCCCTGCCCGAGTCCTGTTCACCTGCCGAGGCCGCAATTGGGACGCGTAGGATTCACCCGAGACCGGCCCTCTGTCCTAGCCGCACCAAGGAAGCCCTGCGCCCTGGGCCCGCCCTCGCTGGCAGCTTGTACCTTAGTCCACCTGGGTGGGGACGCCAAGCTGCACACCGAACTGGAAGCGAGAGGAACACCTAACACAGAGACATTTCTCCCCGCCACCGCCAAACCGCCAGTACCACTGCGCATGCGCAAGGGAGAGCCAACGGGTTTCCCTTTCTGAACAGCAGCGCTTTTCCTTTCAGACTACATTTCCCAGAAGGTCTCCGCGACACACCTTTTCTATGGTATCTGAGAAGGAAACAATGGAATCCGTGCTAGAGAATGGGACCTGGCTGGGGTCACAGAAGGCTGAAGCCTTGTCTTTCATTTAGATCACCTTACTTCCTTTATGCACTCAATGTATTCGTAATTATAATGACAATTATATTAAAGAAAGAAAATGTGGAAGTCACTGCTGATTATCTTTAGGAGATAAGAGGGCTGTTAGAGTCAATTTTCTGTCCCCCACCCAGCCCCAGTACTGGAAATTGAACAGTGGTGGCTTTACTGCTGAGCTACATCTCCATGCCTTTTTTTTTTTTTTTTTTTCTCCTTCTTTTTCCTTTAGAGACAGGGTCAAGCTAACTTGCTGAGGCTGGCCTTGAACTTGTGATTTTCCTGCCTCAGCCTGCCAAGTAAGTGGGCTTATAGGCATGAGCCATCACACCCAGCTCCACCTTTTTTTTTTTTTTTAATAAAAAAGGTTAAATTTTAGATATATAGATATCACATAAATACATACACATACTTAATGAATAAGAATGATTGCTTTCCCTCTCAGATCAGGAACAAGGAAAGAATGTCTACTTTTACCACGTCCATTCCGCATTCGTTTGATGTAACCATTGGGATAAGGCAATAAAAAACATCTGAGCGCGGTAGCCCAGGCCGTAATCCCAGTGGCTGGGGAGGCTAAGGTAGGAGGATCCGAATTCAAAGCAGCCTCAGCATTTTAGCAAGGCCCTATGCAACTTGGTAAAACCCTGTCTTTAAATAAAATATTAAAAGGGCTGAGGATGAGCGCCCCTGAGTTCTATCCCTGGTTACAAACCAAACAAAAACTTTTAGAAAAAAAATGAGAAAAATCTTTGTGATTTTGCATTAAGTTAAGATTTCTTAAATGCAACAGTAAAAGCCTGATTCCAAAAAAAAAAAAAAAAAATTTTTAAATGATAACTGAGACTCATTAAAATTAACACCAACTCATTCAATGATACTTTTAGGGGGTGAAACTGAAGCCAGAATTAAACAGGCAGTCAGCATAGATAGGTAAATCTAGTCAGGTCTTATCAAAGAGTCCAATTTGAGTGAATCTGGGAAATTGGAAACTGTCCCTAAGGGATTGAAATGCCTTCAGAGCCCTTCCTCCACCCTTATCAGGATAATCTGCCCCAGCTCCAACCTGCTGAGATAACCTGTCCAAGGGAGTTGTAAAAGTTGCTAATTAATGCATCCTGAGCCCGGCCTCTTGTCCAGATCACTCCACCTTGGCCCCTGTAGCCCATCTACTTCTCACCTTTTGGCTATCCCACTGAGCATCTGCTGGGCCTAGTAAGGAGAGAGATAAGGGGAAGAGAACAGGAGAACAAAGAAAGCCTAGGACATATAAAAAGGCAAAATGATCTCACTTTTTGGGATACCAGGATACAAGCTATGGCCCCCTTCTCCCTCCTGGTAGAAGTCTATGCTATCCCTTTTTTAAATAAACCCTGCTTTATATGCTTGCCTCAATGTGCTTCTCTAATATTATACTTCAACATGTGAGGAAGCAAAACTCATCACCGATAACCATCAGTATCAAAACAATCAGCCACAGCCTTGAAGAAATATAATAATATATTTGATAAAGGATTCATATCCAGAATGTATAAAGAACTCTCAAAACCTAAACCAAAAGGAACTCCAACCAATGTAATTTTATTTTTATTTTGTATTTGTTCTTTTTAGACACACGTAATAGTAGAGTGTATTTTGACCTATTATAAATACATGGAATATAACTTATTCTAATTGGAATCCGATCTGTGGTTGTACATCATGTGGAGTTTCACCAGTGATGTATGCATATATGAACATAGGAAAGTTAGGTCCAATTCATTCTACTGTCTTTCCTATTCCCACCGGCTCCCTTCCCTTCATTCCCCTGTGTCTAATTCACTGAACTTCTATTCTTCCCGCCATCTCCCTAATTATGTGTTAGCATCTGCATATCAGAGAGGACATTTGACTTTTGTGTTTTGGGGGGATTGGCTTACTTAGCATGATAGTCTCAAGTTCCATCCATTTACTGGCAGAAATCATAAAGTCATTCTTTTTTATAGTTGTGTAATAGTCTGTTGTGTATTTATACCTCTTTTCTTTATTCATTTATCTGTTGAAGGACATCTAGGTTGGTTCCATAGCTTAGCTATTGTGAAGAGCTGCTATAAACATTGATGTGGCTGGGTCACTGTAATATGCTGATTTTAAGTACTTTGGGTATATACCAAGAAGTGAGATAACTGGGTCAAATGGTGGTTACATTCCAAGTTTTCTGAGGAATCTCCATACTGCTTTCCAGTGGGGTTGCACCAATTTGCAGTCATACTAGCAATGTATTAGTATATCTTTTTCCCCACATCCTCACCAACATTTATCATTACTTGTGTTCTTGGTAATTGCCATTCTGACTGGAGTGAGATGGAATCTCAGTGTAGTTTTAATTTGCATTTCTCTAATAGCTAGAGATATTGTACAGTTTTTCATATATTTATTGACCATTCATATTTCTTCTTCTGTGAGGTGTGTGTTTCAATTTCTTAGCCCTTTTATTGATTGGGCTATTTGGTTTTTTTTTTTTTTTTTTTTTGGTGTTAAGTTTTTGAGTTCTTTATATATCCTGAAGATTAATGCTCTATCTGAGATACAGGTAGCAAATATTTTCTCTCGTTCTGTAGGCTCTCTCTTCATGGTCTTGATTATTTCCTTTGCTGTGAGGAAGCTTTTTACTTTGACACCATCCCACTTATTGATTCTTGATTTTTTTTACTTCTTTTTAAAAATATTTTTTAGTTGTAGATGGACACAATATCTTTGTTTTATTTTTATGTGGTGCTGAGGATCAAACCCAGTGCCTGAAGTGTGCTAGGTGAGCTCTCTATCACTGAACTACAACCCCAGCCCTTGATTTCACTTCTTGAACTTTAGGAGTATTATTGAGGAAGTCAGTTCCTAAGCCAACATGATGGAAAATTGGGCCTACATTTTATTCTAGTAAGTGCAGGGTCTCTGGACTAATGCCTAGGTCCTTGAACCACTTTAAGTTGAGTTTTGTGTAAGGTGAGAGATAGAGATAGATACTTCATTCATACAGATGGATTTCTGGATTTCCCAGCACCATTTGTTGAAGAGGCTGTCCTTTATTCAATTTATGTTTATGATGCCTTTGTCTAATACAAGATAACTGTATTTATGTGGGTTTGTCTCTGTGTCTTCTATTCCACTGGTCTTCAAGTCTGTTTTGGTGCCAATACCATGCTGTTTTTGTTACTATAGCTCTATAGTATACCAAGCAATGTAATTTTAAAAATAAACAAAAGATTTTATCAGATACTTCAGTGATGAAGACATAAGGATGGCAAACTCATAATAAGTGGGATATCATCATTAGTGAACAGAACAACATAAATGTAAATCCAAGCTATAATAAGATACCATTATGCATCTATTGTAAGCTAAATAATACCCCCCCAAATATGTCCACACCTTAATCCCCAAAACATGCATAGGCATATTACTTTATATTACATAAATATTTTGCAGATATGATAAAATTATGATCTTGAAATGGAAAGAGGATGCAGTAATAGATTACAGTGGGAGACATTCTAATGGACTCATGTTCAGTTTTACCCAGGTACAAATCACTACATACGAATATTTATAGATGTGTGTGCATGTATGTGTATATATATATATATATATATATATATATATATATATATATATATTTTTTTTTTTTTTTTACTCTGTCATCAAATGAGAGGGTCTAAAAGCAAAGACACCCCAATAGCAATGAGCCAACCTTGGACACAGATCTTTATGAATACCACTCTCCAATGAAAAGAGCCAGAGTTCCTTGTAATAATAGATTCTAAAACTGAGACAGAAAATACAGAAGATGAACGTGGATCAATTTGGGATGCCAGAAAGTAAAGAAATTCTCAAAATAACAACAAAAATAAGTGATGGAGTTATGTCAAAGGGACACAGGGTCAACTTTAAAAGTTTTTAATGACCAAATGTGGAGCAACTTAATAAAAAATAGCTTTGGTTTATAACCCCAAAGCACAAAATAAATATGAGTCCATATTGAAATAAATCATACTAATTTATTAATCATTTTGACAATTAATTAACAATTTATTAATAAATGGGAAAGAAGAGACAAATATCTTATGAAAAAAATTTTAAATAATTGGTATATATATTGTAGTTTCAAGGATGTAAAACATAATTTCCTGCTCCTTAGATGAACTGTGCTTAATGATTTTGTTTCAACAAGTACAATGCCAAGATGATTAAGGGTTACATCAACAGTTTTAAGTCCCATTAAGAGCATGAACCCTTTGATAAAATGTGATGAATATGAAAACCTAACTCCATGGGCTTTCTTCCCGTGGAGGTACATCCCTATAATGCAAAAAACATCAGACAATCACAACAGAGTGATATTTGATAAAATATTTAACCAGTACTCTTCATAATGGTCAAGTTCATCAAAAGCAAGGAAGGTATCACAACCTAATGAGGACATGCATCATAACTGAATGTGACATGGTATCCTGGATGGTATCCCCAAACAT